TTATTTTTGGTAAATAAAAGATAGTGAACTAAAAGATTATCAATCAAAGTTAATTGTAAAAATAAATTAAACGAAAAACTGTCAAAATATCATGTTCTAATAAAAATATAACCGATTTCTGGCATATCTCGGCAAATTCCCTTTCTGGTGGGCTAATAAAACATGTAGTTTACCATTTAAAATTTTCTCTTTCTTGCCATTGAATGGGGAAAAAGGTAATTCACTTTTTGCCCATCCTGTACAAGATACTGTGATACATCAAATGACGATCTATTTGACAGTATTTGAAGAGTAATCGTGCCAATTTAGAGCTTTTTTGAAAGAACGTTTGCTGAGATATGGAGTTTCAAAGAGCATGGTGAAAATTGACAAGAAAAATTTTAAATCAAAACAACTCGAAAACGAAAAGCGCTAGGTAACTTTAATCAAAGTCTTATAACTTTTATCAAAGTCAACTTATTTTTTTGCCTGTAATTAAAAGGTGCAATAAAAACTATAGCATTCCATTTAAAATAATGAAGTTGTGGCCTACTTCCGGGGGACCAGAAGTTGTCACCATCTTGAAAATACTTTAGATCGAAAGGTCAGTATGAACCTCCCACATAAACTAAATTTCAGAAATGTAGATGCAATGGAACAGAAATAAAACGGGTGTTGCTGACTTTTTGGCGGACACTGTATATTGCATGAACCATGTCCTATCATTAGCTGAATGAAACCTTATTGGACAAAAAATCACTTCGAAGTGTCACTTCGAACCAGTTTCTGAAGAAGGTTGCAACATGGCATCCGAAACGTCAAACCTTTTATTAAAAGACGCACGGCAAAACCCGAAAGTTTCTAGTGTTAGTTCTAGTTTTAGTTCTAATCTTAGTTTAATGTCGAGTGAACTTTGCGAAGTTCACCAATCAAAATAGTCGATGCAAAAAAAGATAAAAGAAATACAGAAAAAGAAATGACAAAAAGGTCGGTGCCTGGGTTAAACCATGGATTAATTGTCGATCTCCGGATTAATCTGCTTTTGCTAGGTGCTTCTGCAAAACTTCTACGAGAACTCGCAACAGAAGATTCTGCAAGCTATAAAAATCATCTACGAATGACAAAACAAAATTTTGATACTCTTCTGGATTGTGTTCTGATAAGCACTACTATGTACATCCCATAAACACGGATAAGATTCATAGCCTTCAAGAAATTTCATTGTCAGTTCTGCCGATCACTTTTTTTTAGTCATAATAAACTATATAAACTACAATAAACACAAATTAGGAACTCAACCGAAACGAAAAGCTAACTAAAAACTGACAAAACTGAGCCGCTGTGCAAGCATTTGTATACACACACAAATTTTGTTTAGCTGCATGTATTTGTCATCAGAGGCGCCAGTAATTTCACAAGGGTGCAGACTTTTCCGATCCATGCATGCAAGTTGAAATCATGCGCCACTAAATCCATGCATGTCTAAACTCACCTTTAGTGTTTTCATTAAGTGATTTGGTCGCTGGAGCGAAGCGCAGGAAATAGTTAAAGTTGAATTTGAGCAAATAGTTTTTCTACGAGGTGACGACGAGGAGAATGAGAGAGAAGTTGTAGATGAACGGATGGTACGAAAGGAAAGGGGGGAGTGCATGCAGGAGTTGTAACGGTGGTGGACGAGAATGTAATGTGGGGGCGTAGAGTAGCGACGATAATTCATAAGAAACTACAATCCATTAGCTTTTGGGTAGGAAACTTTGTTATGCCAAATACATCTCCAGCAAGTACCATCAACCATCGAAATCCGACCCATTACCACATTCACAGTACCAAGAAGGGGCTTATATCAATTTCGTGTGATGCCAAACGAAATCATAGAAAGCACCGAATCATAGGATCAGGATGGGTGGAGTGGCTTTGTCCAATAAGGTTTCATTCAGCTAATGATAGGACATGGTTCATGCAATATACAGTGTCCGCCAAAAAGTCAGCAACACCCGTTTTATTTCTGTTCCATTGCATATACATTTCTGAAATTTAGTTTCTGTGGGAGGTTCATACTGACCTTTCGATCTAAAGTATTTTCAAGATGGTGACAACTTCTGGTCCCCCGGAAGTAGGCCACAACTTCATTATTTTAAATGGAATGCTATAGTTTTTATTGCACCTTTTAATTACAGGCAAAAAAATAAGTTGACTTTGATAAAAGTTATAAGACTTTGATTAAAGTTACCTAGCGCTTTTCGTTTTCGAGTTGTTTTGATTTAAAATTTTTCTTGTCAATTTTCACCATGCTCTTTGAAACTCCATATCTCAGCAAACGTTCTTTCAAAAAAGCTCTAAATTGGCACGATTACTCTTCAAATACTGTCAAATAGATCGTCATTTGATGTATCACAGTATCTTGTACAGGATGGGCAAAAAGTGAATTACCTTTTTCCCCATTCAATGGCAAGAAAGAGAAAATTTTAAATGGTAAACTACATGTTTTATTAGCCCACCAGAAAGGGAATTTTCCGGGAATTTTCCGGTATCAGAGTATCTTATACAGGTGGTCAAAAATTGAATTATCGTTTCTCCATATTCAATGGTAAGAACCTACCAGAGAGATAATTTAATTCTCTAGAAATCATCTATAAACATTGGGAAATACACATATTGGGAAATTTATCAAACATGCACGGAATGCCGGAATTCGGTTATATTTTTATGAGTAGGCCATGACACCTTGTATATGCTTTTCGGTCTTCACTGTTCGAATGCGTTGCAGTATTATTAAAGTTTTCAAATGTTATCTAACTTTCCAAGATAACGGGAATTTTATGTTTGTTTATGGCAGTTACGCCACCTAACGGTCGGACTAGGAACTTCAAAACAATTCCCAGATATTTCTCTTGTCCACTTTGCCGATAAGAACTTTTTTCCCATACCTCTAGGCCTTACTATTGTCGAGATACAATCGCTCCGTGCCCTTATCAGGACACCCGGTATAAGATTGTGCAGTTTGTTTTGTATAGCTTGGATTTCTGTTATTTTAAATATAATTTATCTGTTGTGTTGGCAAACGAGTGCGACCAAGTGACGATATATTTTAGAAGCTGAAATAAAATGTTTTGTTTCAATAAAAAGTAAAAAGTATTAAGTACTAATA